CCCCCCAACCCCGCCCACCTTGGCCTTGGCGTATTTCACAAACAGGTGCCGGGCCGCTGCCCTGCCCGCCACCAGCGACCAGAACTGGGGCAGGGGCCGCTGCTTGTAGGCGGCAAACAGGGCTGGGGAGGTTCGAGCGGGGGATTCATGGTAGGTTGATTGGGTTCATGGTGTTATTCAGGTTGTGGTGGTGGTTTGGTCCAGGTGTCGCTGTGGCTTGAGTCAGGGTACAGCAGCAGGTTTGTGTCGTGGCGGACTATTGTGCCGTTCACCAGTCACGTCAGCCCGTGAGCAGGCAATCAAGGGTGTTCACCCAACACATGCTTTGAGCGTGGAAGGAAAGCCAGAGCCCGTCCAAGGCCAAGACTGCCAAACAAGCCACACCCAATAACTTCCAACCAGTTCGGATCTGATGACGTCACAACGCTCACTGAGGTATACGAGGTCCGGGTCACCAGACTCCACTGCCCGCCGCAGGGCCCGCCCCAGTATGTCCTCCTCATCACCTTGGGTGTGATGTGAACGTAATTTAGACACCAGTGCGTGTGTGTGCGGTGTGTGCGGTGTGTGTGGCAACTTTACAGCTACATGCGTTTCCAGGACAAGCCCGCGCGCGCATTTGCGTGCGTGCGCGCGTGTGCACGTGTGTGTGTGTGTGTGTGTGTGTGTGCGCGTGCGTGCGTGTGTGTAAGTGAGTGTGTGTGTGAGTGTGTGCGCGTGTGCCTTCACGCACGCGGCTGCACACTTGCGCCCATGTGCTTACAAACCGCCAGGTGCTGCGCAGCCGAGAAGCACGTCTCGCTGCCTGCTGGAAGGCGAGCGTGCAAAACAACCCGCCCCTCGATGCCATGCACACTCTTGCCCGGCGACGCTCACCCGCCGCCGCCGCTGCTGCGTCCTGCCCCTTTGCCAGGCTGATCAGCAGCGGGACCTGCGCGCGGAGCATGGGTCGAGGGGCCGTTGAGAGGGGACAGGTCTTGAGACCTGGGTTTTAGGGTCGAGGGTTCGTCAACGCCAGTGCTGCGCTGCCAAACGGCAGCGCCTGGCGCTGCTGGGCATCGCATGGCCCTGGGCTTGGGAAACGCCCCGCTGCCTGCTTGTCCCATCCTGTGCCTGCATGCGTCCACCCACCACCCCAGGGTCGCCCCGGTTTGCTCAGACCTGCAGGCTGGGTGAGGGCTCCTCTTCCAACAACCGGATGGCCAGGGTGCGGCGCCCCACAGACTGCGGCAGAGAGCATGAGAGTGAGGCATTGAAACACGCATATGAGGAGGTGTGTGTGTGTGTGTGCGTGCGCGAGCGTGCGGGAGAAGCTTGTTGACAGTGCAGTGGGAAACGTGTGATGGTCGGTGCAGTTTTGACTTCCAAACCAGACGTTTTCAATCGAGCTTTCAACAAGTTCAACACAGGAGAAGGTGAGACGCGCCGCCGCGGCGGCGCGGCGCCACTCCGCGCGCACAGGCGCCTAGGGCGCCCCCGAGTTGACCTGGGCGTGGGCGGCGATGGGCGCAAAGCGCGCTCCAGGGACCGCCTTGAGGCGCGCCAGCAGCTGCTCCCGCAGCTGCGCGTCCGGCACAGAGGCGCTCGCGCTGATCTTGGCGCACGCCCTGGGGGTGTGGTGGCGGTGGTGATGGCGCGTGTGTGTGTGTGTGTGTGTGTGTGTATGTGTGCATGTGTACGTGCGCGTAGGTGTGCGTGCGACTAGGTGTGTGCACACAGCCACACACACTTGCGTTTGAATGTGTGTAGAAGTGAGCTGGAGTTCAGCAAGCGAGCAGTTGCCAATGTTTGTGCAGCTGAAAGGGCCAAGCATGCTGCAAAACTTCACTGCACCCTGACAACAATTGGAGTGTCTTGGTGAGCAAGATAAACCTCACGACGACGTGTGCGGCACACCACAATGAAGTAGATCAAACGTTGAGCATGGCCCAACCCAGCAGCACGCAGCGACCCACCAGTGTGCCGCGACGGCGTCCCTGCCTGTGCCCAGCATGTCTGCTATGCGATAGGCCAGCAGGTAGTGGCGGCAGGCAACCAGCCTGCGAGGGGGGAGGGGGGCGGGGCAAAGGGGTGCAACAGGGGGCAAACATGCGGACGCATGGCGGTAAAGAGGCCGTCCCATCGGATACCCCTGCTCTGCCACACGAAACGCGTGTCGCTTCAACATCGGGCTGCGCACCCCGCTCTGGAACCAGCGCCGGCAGCACAGAAC